CATGACGGTCGGATATTCTCATCAAAGCTATGGTCATCCCTGGTCTTCCTGTTTCCTGTAGATGGCAGGCCCGCAAGATAGTTTACTGCAAGAGTCCTGCCAGGGTCAGAACTTGAACTGGGTCATCGACGGCCGGGAGGCAAGGGGTCCGTGCGCATACTCCCTGCAAGTAGAGTCCTGATTCCATTCTCGCAAGGTCTCCCTGCCAGCCGTAGATGACGCGGCCTGCAACTTACCTTCTCCAGGGAGGTGACTTTCAAGCCACGGTCTTCACACATCTGGACTCCAGCGCCATGCTGCTCAAATTCTGCTTGAATCCTGTCAAGGACCTGGGCCAGCTATTAGCTCCATCTCAGCCCGACCACCCTTGGACCGCCTGAGCAATCCCAAATCAAATCCTCGAAATCTGACTCCATTTGAGAAAAGTGTTCATGTCAGGACATCATGCATTGGATCTTCCATTGAGTGCGTGCGTAGGATGTGCAATGTGCAATGTAATTGCTGGTGCAGAGCGGCCATCAACATCTTGAAGATGAAGATTGGAAATTGCAAGCAGAACTTAGGGCTGCAAGATAGGCAGCACGATGGTCGCCGTCCTCCTACTACTAGTGGTACAAATAGAAGACTCCTTTGGTGTTTGTGGTAGCAGCAGCAAGAATAAGAGCACATTCAATCATTGTGCTCACTTAGATGAACTCCCTCGTGCCGCGGGGCAGCGTTCAACAGCAGCTTCGCAGCTCCCAGGACATCCGGCTTGCAGAATCACGGGTGACTTCTGTGTCTTGGGGTACAGCATGTAGGTACTGTTACTGCGTTTTTGCACCTGCTTGGGGAGCATGCTGCTGGAGTCTCCGCTCCTGTGATTGTTCGGAAACTTCTCATTGGAGAACTCGAGTTCACAGACCGTAGCAAATAGTTTCCCAAACTGGTGTTTTACCTGATACCTAGTACTTGTGGCATCATCGTTTCGTAATGTATGAGCCCATGTTGCTGAGGAATTCATAAAGCCCACAAGCTCACTCACCCCACACACCCACCCCTCTTGCCTATTCAGCACAAAACGCAAATTAATCCGTCCAGTGAGTACCTTTAGCCTCTGGGAGAATTTACACGCAAATTCAAGCCGAAAGGCTAATCTTGGAAAATCCAAGGTACTGGACACCAAAGCAGAACCCCGAAAATTCTCCGCTGAAGGATGCCTTGGCCCACGCAAGGGATCAGGGCAACCCAGGAGACAAATACGAGGCAGGCTTGTAAAGGAGTTGTTGCAATGCTGTGTGTCTCTGGGGGTTTCAATTTGAGAGCAATATACTTCTGCAGGTAGATATCTCCCATGTAGATGCGCGCACAGAAAGACAAGTAGCAGCACTAACATCTTGACTCATCCTATGTCAGCCAAGAAGTCACGCCGGCGGCTACTTCTTGACCGCCCTTTCAGCTTCCCAATTTTGGGAGGGATTCGAAACCTCTCCGGTCCTTCTCAACCGCAGCACCTCCAAGACTCAACTGCGAACGAAACTTCCTGAAGCACAGTGGCATTCTAAGCATTTGGTTCCTTGAGGTCACATGTGAAACCCGCTTTGATTGGGGGTCCACTCCGCGGGGCGCCAACAAATTCAAGTTGTTTTACGTTGGGGTCCCGGCTTGCAATCGCCAGTTGAGGTCTTTGTGAGATCCATGCTGTCACCACCTGTTGCCAGGTGAAGCTCTACATCTCCGGCAAGTACCGTGCTGTGACGTGGTCGAAGATCACATGAGCCCTCTCATGAGCATCCGCATCCCTACAGAACAGCTTTAACACCGTCATGACAGCAGCATAGACTATCAAAATGTGAACAACCACCCCTGCTCTTCCCAAAGACTAAAGTTAACTGGATCCCCCCACTTATTCCCTGGGCAATTCGGCGATGCCTACACCCATGTTGCATATTTGACGTCCCCGGGTGCGCTGCAGAGAAAAGGAGGCGACAGGGGATGAGACATCTTTGCATTGATGATTTCAAAAACCAAGGCTGTCATCATGGTTGCCATCTGTAAAATTAGTTTGCCCGCTTGGCTCAGGCAAGTCCAAGCATGGATTCCTATGAGCCAGCACCTGCTTGCACAACTGAGCTTGCATACATTTCCCAGACATCGTTTTCAGATCAGATAGCACCTGTTTTATTGTTCCCGCATTTGCATACACTGCTGCGCCATGGGAAAGGCCGTTGCGGTACCTTGTCCCATGTCAGATACCTTCTTTTGAAATTGGTTGAGCTTTATACTTTCTGTAAAAGCTAGTATTCTTCCGATGTGGACAGGTCAAAGGAAAAAAGAAGCTGCTCAGAAAGGGCGGGGCCAGTTCTGCAAAGGAGGCTTCCGGAACTGCTGAGCAAGCGGTAAAGAAGCCGCCCATGAAGAAGCTCAAGGCCAAAAGGAAGAAGAAGGTCGCGAAGGCCCGAGGGATGCAGCTTCAGAACGCTGCGCCAGCAAATCCATAATCAAGCCTTTTCCAAAGGCTGCAGGTAGTGAACGGCTGTACCTTTTGGGAGTGGTGCACTTGCACAAGAACTGCACAGCAAGAAGCCCGGTTCTACGGATGGTTAGTGGTAGTGAGGCTCCTAATCTAATTTCAAAGCAGCCACCATCAACATGCTTCTTTTGACTCGTACATCAAACTTCCATGTAGACTTACATAGCCACCGCATGCATGTCTCTTGCGTCCTGAGGTCAACCCGACGTGAGAACCCCTGCAGAGTGCTATAACCACTCTGCACTTTTCCCAAATGAACCTCTTGGGTAAGCCTCCAAGATTTCTCCTGCCGTGCCTTCCTGTATATCACCAGCATCCCTTGGTATGTGCCCATTTTGAGCCGTTTCTCCCGGCCCTCAGACCGAAGATCCGCGGGCAAAGAATAGCGACAGAACGGTCACCACACAGGTCCAAGAGCGACCTGGCAATTAAGTTCTTCCACAGGTTGCCGTTTGGGATCAGAAATCAAAAGAATGATGTTACGTGAAATAAAAAAGTTAGGTCTCTCCAACTGTAGGTGCACATCCTCAAGTCCAAGGTGTTGACGAGGTCCGAAGGAAACGCACGAGCATGTTGAGGCTGCCAAGGTTCTGATCCCCTCACCATGAATACTGTCATGAATGGTACTTTCGTAGTGATTCCAATACGCACCTCTGCTGAGAGCATGTTTTATCCTTTACTGATGTTACAAGTGACTCCAGGATTGTCAGTATTGATGTGTAGAACTACTGTTGCAGCCAACACCCTTGTGGCTCTGACTATCATTCTTCAACCATTGGCTGATACTGGCACAGGTGCTTTAGCAGTCAATGTATAGTCCCTCTTGAGTAGATAGAATATGGGTATATGGGGATCCTACTACAATACACCCAAAGCCATATTCTATCTGCTTAAGGGGTACTTTATCTGAGGACGCCTGCATCCTGCTCGCTCTGCGATGGGATTTATCCTATGGGAGCTCCGCAGAGCGACCTTGCTGGAATTTCATATTGGCCGTCATTTTTGGGGAACTTCCATTTTCAATTATACAACACTTAAAAACTATGCAATCCTACACGCCTGATTTGGATGCACCTACTCCCCCTGTTATTGAATACTGCTTGACTCTTTTTGGGTATACTCTGGAAGCCCGGTTGCTCTTCCGATGACAGCAGGGTCTTGGTCTCAGTGCTTCTGTATACTCACATTAGTTTGACTCTAGGATCAACGAGTTGAAACCTGAGACGATTCTTGTGCTGCAGAAGATTCGCATCAGAATAGCTTAAGATTCGTTTGGCAGAAGCAAATCTGCAGGGTAGATGTAGAAGGCTCCAACTTAATGAGCAGTTGAAGGTGTTACATGGCAGTTAGGCGAAGAAAGGAGGTAACCATTTCCAAGAATCGAACGTTCAAAGCCAAGGATGTCGCGGATGTGGCAAAACAATGCTGCCGGAACCGACAGCTTCATGATGCTAGATCACGCATTGAAAAATGTGCCTGTAGATGCGTTTATCGGCGAAGCCTGTTCACAGACTGTTTGCGAATAAGTGATAAAGTTGAAGGTTTGCGTTGCTAGAAGGGCAGGTGTTGCGCTCAATCCAAACCTCAGCCCAAACGTGAAAGGTAAAGACTGCTGAGGCCTGCACATGTCTTTGCAATATATACACTGCATCCCTGAAGGAGTGCAGATGTTTAGAATGATTGCCCCAAAGACTGGAGAAGCTAACTTTGTGCCGACCTGCCATGGGTTAACTAGCTTTCAAAGCTGCTAATCTTTAACGTGCCCATCCATGCTTTGCAATTCTGACGCAGGATGGTTACGCTTGCTCATGGGGGCGGCTCAGGGTTGAAGGTGCATGTGCCGCTGCCTCATGACAGTAGAAACCTACAATGAACAAACCTGCACAAGCCCACAAGTTGAAGAGAAGCGACCATAGCAGCCTAATCATGGGTGACGCTGTGAAAACATTGCTGAACCTCAGCGGCTCGAGTTCTTTAGTTAGAACGAACCATGTCAGAGTTCCAGTTTAGAAATGGAGCTCCCAATTCCAAGCATGTTTGAACCTTACAAATTTCAGGGATTCGGGCTTGAATGCTTTGACCCAGACAGAAGATTTGCAACTTGCAAGTCATACGTACCTTGGATGGTTTTTGATGGGACAATTGGAAAGAATGTGAAACTCCCAAATACAAGTTACCGAGATCAGTACAGCGTCCTGGCAATCATCCTCTACAATGTTGTACAGGGAGGTTAGAGGCTGTAAAAATCTCATAGACGTGCGTCAAGGACGAGCTTGGGGGCTTGCGGCTGAGGTGTGTGGAAGTTTCTTGTTTTGCAGCACGGACTTCCAATAAAATTTCTCAGCTGCCTCATTGCGGGATTCGCCAATGGCGGTTGCAGTTCTTGCTTGAGAGTCTTAGCAGTTTTTGCATGCATTTCAGAAAAAAAAATGTGCTCAAGCTATACCAGCGTTACTCGATTGTTTCGTGAGTGTTCTTCCTATTCGTGATGTCGGGCAAACTCTTCTTCGCCACCATCGCAGCCTTGGTTTTCAGCTCCATGGCAGTGCGTGGAGACATGCGTGAAGTTGCCAGGCGTGCAGCCCCCTGCAGGGACTTGGCAAAGGAGACGGTCTATGGTGGTGCTGGCGGCAATGCTTATGTTGTACGCTTCAAGGGCACATGCGGAAAAGTTCCCAGAGGCTCTGTGGCCAAAGTGTTCTATTCCCTAGACGAGCAAAAAGCTGCACTTAAGTCACTTGGCAAGCTACCAGACGTCAAGGCATTGGCAGGCCTGGTGCAAGAGAAGAAGGAGTTTGACGGCCCTTGCGTGCATGTGCACAAGGACGACGATTGTTGCAGCCATATCAAGCCGTCGGACACCTGCCACTTCATGGTCATGCAGAACGGAGGCTCCAAGACTCTCCAGCAGTGTGTTGAGGGCCAGGCTCTTGCGCCTGACACGCTAAAAGGCCTTCTAGTCTCTGCCATCAATGCTGCCATCTCCTTCCACAAGTTGGGCTGGTACCATGGGGACTACCAACTTAAGAACCTGATGGTAAACGACGCTTGCAGCCCCAGGACCCTCAAAGCAGTGGACTTGGACTACATGGACAACAAAGAGGGCACACCTGGTGAGTCTTGGAACAAGCCACATCGTATGCTGAGAGACTATGCCATGCTCCTGGGCACTTGCGACTGGGGGGCGCTTCCACTTGTAGACTTCGAATACAAATCAGCAAATGTGCAGAAGGAGGCTGCCAGGATCGCCGCAGCAGCCGAGCCCATCATGAGCCCACATTGCAACAGCGCATGGAACCTCAGCCCTGATGAAGTTGTGGAGGTTGCCCGAAAGCTGAAGACGGCTGTTCAGGGAGCATGAGTTCATTACAAGCGGCCGCCAGCAAAACAAAGCGTTCGCTCATCACAGCTGTTTGCCAGTAGCCGATTGCGCGACGTCATCAAGAGCATTCAATCATAATTTTGCTTTCAGTTCTGATGGTTCCTAATGTTTTCGTTCTCTTTTAATTGGAATTATGAAGGCTATCTTGCAGGCCTGCTATGTAGAAAATCTCTCAGGCTCTTAGGTTGAGGCTGCTTTTCCTTGGAGATTGCTTGCTATAGACCAATACTGACTGAAGCCATGCCACATTCAAGCAATCATGATTGTTTGATCGTTCTTTCACATGATGATTTAGCAGCTTAAAAAAACTAGAAATACGAAAATGTGATTCATCAATCGTGTTGAGTCTTGTATATCTGGGACTCCCTATAAGTTCACGGCTATTCATCCCGACAATAAATTTGCAATTGGAGATCTAAATATTTATTCGTTTAATTGTTGGAAGAGTACCTCTGGAAAAGGATGCGGGTAAGGCCCCGTTTTGGCCTTGGTGCATGCTTTCCGGATGGTTCCCACCCTCTTGCGAAAGCTAGCCGGGCTAATCCCGAAAATTCTGTTATGTTTGATGGTGAAAATATTTGAAATTTGGTGGATTTGCCGGAATTAACGCCCGATCCGCATAATCTAGTATATCTTTTCGCGACCATGCCGCATGAACGGCCAAGGTATTGGTCTGCCTCTCTGCTTGCTTGCGTATTTGTCTATCGGCCTCTGTTTATCTCTGGTTATTTGTCTACTTGTCTGCGAGTCCTTGTCTGGTTGTTTGCTTGTTTGTCGGCATGTCTTCTCATATATTATATTCGTCTTTGCCTTTCTATTTTAGCGGTCTGCTTATCGTATTTATATATCTGCATTGCGTAAGTATTATCTTTATCTGATTCGTCTCCATTTATCTGGTCGTTTATTGGTCTCTATTCGTTTTATTTATGTTCTATATTTTTATTGTCTATTTTATAGAATTTTATCGATTCTTTCTATATTCATTTTCTTATTTCTTAATTTCTTATTTATACTATTTGATTATTTGATTGATCATATATTTCGTTATCTTATGATTATCTATAGGTCTTTCAAATTATGATCTTAATTTATTATATACAATTATCATGTAAAATTATCATATAAATTTTAATAGAAGATATATCTATGTGGGTGTCTTCTTTGCTGGTTTGTGTATGTATACGTTATTTTCCTATTATATTTTTTTCTATATAGTAGAAATAAATGAAAGCAGATATTTTAAACTATTGATTTTATTCTCGGCAGATCTTTCATATTGCGGTCGGCGATTATTTTATATTTACATATTTTCTTTATGCGAGATTATATATTTGATTATGATTCTTGATTTGAGATATATCTTCTATTATATATTCTATATTCGATTGATTTATTCTCATATTATGTATATGTAAGATATATGCTTATCTATGAATACGAATTTGAATGATTCTAATTCGTTTTAGAAATCCTGTTCTCATTTAATTAATGATATTGAGTTATATGAAATATTGATATAGAGTTGAAAATATTATTTAGAAAATAAGAAAGATGAAAATTGATATGTTATATTTATTTGCATGATTGATTCATTTTTTTGATGATGCGAATTTGAAAATGATATCTATTTCTTCTCATATCTAATTTCTTCTGAATCAAAATCGATGATTTTCAAAAATTCTGAAAAAGATCATTCGTGATTTTTTTTTCTAAATGATTCATTCTATTGGATCTGGTTTATTTAATATTCGTATTTACGAATATTGAAGCATAATTTTTTGATGAATAATAAGCTTTCTATTTTCTTGATATATATTTCTATAATTTTTGAAATATTTCTTTTAATATTTGATTTCTCTATCTATTGGGCGATTTGGGAGATCTAATTAAGAATATTATTTAATGATTTAGATTTCTCAGAGATTTCTTTCGATTTATTTATTTTCATTTATATTTCATGATTTATTTTTTTAATTCATTTCTATATATATTTTATATTTATCTCTATCTCTCTTTAATATCATTTATTTTCATTTAATTTTCTATTTATTCAATAATATTGATATTAATGATCTTCTGATTCTTTTAGCATAAATTGATTATATTGAAGATGCAATTTTCAGAATTTATAAGATTCTCAATATGAATTTATTCTCGTTATTCATTATAGGATTCTAATCCTTTAGATGATATGATGTCCGCTATTTTCCGCGATGGATTCTTCTATCGCGCAAGTATATTGGATATGCTCATCTTGATTTTAAAAGCATTCGAAATATCTTCTAAATAGCGACTTTTCTTTTCAAAAAATATTCATAAAATAGGATATATCGTTCTTAAAAAATCTTGCTAATCGAGGCCAATTAGACGATCTCTCTGATTTTCTAAAACTATATTTTCGCTCAAAATATGATTTTGATATGTTTTTTGAAAAATCATAAAATTATAAAGAATTTTCCTCCCGCACGAGATAATTCGATTTTTATCAGCCTCTCATTTTTTTTCGAATTATCTCTCGCTGAGGATATCCTCGGAAATTTATCAATTTTTCTATCGATGATAGATCTAATAGAGAGGCGAGGTTGCCTTCAAAATAATCTTGGAAGAAGGATAGATCGATATTGAATTGATCGCATTCTGATTTTCAAAAATCGCGTTCTCATTTGAGATATCTTCAAATTCCGGATCTTTCATTTCCAAAGATTGCTCTCCCGTATATCATATCTAGATATTTTTGATGTTTTGATCATATTGGGATCTTGAAAAATCGTGTTCTCGATCAAGATATCTTCGAAATTTCATCGATTTATCTTCATAAAAATCCGTCAAAATTGCGGAAAATTTCGAGGATTTCTTATGAAAAATCGTTTTCTCAATCGAGATATCTTGAAAAATGTTGTCGATATATTTTCAGCCAAATCGAGCAAAATCGCGATATTATACGGATTATACTTAAAATTTTGAAGAAAATTGCACTCCCGTGCGAAATATCGTCCCATTCGTTTTAGAAAATTATAAATCGAAAAGATAATTCCGCTCTCGTATTGAAATATTTTTAAAAAATCGAATAGAAAAAATGATATTAATTACGTTCTTTGCCAAGCATCCTAAAAATTTCGTCGTTCTTTTGTTAAAAACTACGCTCCCATGCGAGGCATCTCGGAAATTTTGATAAAAATTACATTCCAGTGCAGAGAATCTTCAAAATTGTATCGATTCTTCGTTCAAGATCGTGCTTCCGTACGAATTATCCTTATAAATCTTCTAGGAAGATCTTTCAAATGGGAGGCATTCCGAAAATTCGTTTATTCATTCGTTCAAAATTGTCGTTTCTCTTGTGGAGCGTAGATATTTAAAATTCGTTCGATATTTCATTCATAAATAATAATATCTATTCATATATGTATACGAATATTTATGTTTGCAGGCATATCTCTATAATTGTATTTGGTAGTTTTGCGTTCAAGTATTCGGTCCTTATTCTTCAAGTTCTGAACTTTCAGGATTGTATAATTTCTCTTTATCCTTCAGATTCTTCGTTTTTACGGCTAAATGAATTTTCTCAGAATCATCGTATTAGCTGCTTAATTTTTATTCGACAGGCACCACATATTATTTTCTTAAAATATAAATTTACGCCACATATTCATGATTTTGATTCTCTTAATCTTTATCTTTGGAAATAATATTGGTATATATTATTCAATTTTTTTGAATTAAATTTGAATAAAAACGATTTTCTATATATAATTGATCATTTGGAGGATAAATCATGCTGAAATTTTCTAAATATCATTTTAGAAAATTCATCGTTTGGTATTGTCCAAAAAAAGCAAAATCGTAATAGCGCGCTTCCGTATAAAAAAATTATCGTTATTTAAAGAAATTGCGTTTCCGTGCGCAATATGAGGGAAAAAAAATCCGTTCAAAATCCCGTTGCGGAATAAAGATCATGAATGTGTGAATTGGAAATATAAAGCAAATCCAAAAAAAAAACGTAATATTTTGAAAATTCCATATATTCTATTTAATTTATTTTTTGATCCCTGCGAAGGAATTTTCTATTTATTTTACTATTTTTCAATTTACGTATTGCTCGCAGGAAATATTTTGATTTGCTTTTTATAAGATTTCAATTGATGCTTCTTTCTGATTTGTAAATTGGTGAAAAATTCAAAATAATTAAATCCAAATCTTATTAAAAGAAATAAAAAAAAATAAATATAAAAATAAAAAAAAACGAATGCAATTAATGAAATATGATAATTTGAATTAAAAGACGAGAAAAATAACAATTTAAATGGCAAATTTTTGAATTTGAACGTGAATGATTGAAATACAATATTTTTTACCAAAATCCTGAGCAAAAAAAAATATTGAAGCAAGAAGACCAAGAACTTTCCGGGATTGCACTCCTCTGGGAGGAATTTTGACCAAAAAACAAAACAAAGAAATAAAAAAATGTTACAAAAAATGACCGTAGAAGCATAAACAATAGCTACAATGGTTTTTTTTTCACTGATCATTTCCGTCTGGACCATGGGCAGCTCCACCTAAATCAAAGCTTGGTAAGTGGTTGCTTGCTGCAAAACAAGCTTTGCATATTTTTTGGTTAACGCCAATCGGAAAAAACAACTTAGCAAGGTTGTCCGCACAAAACAATTCGGTAGCAACCAAAGCAAATGCTTGCATAAGTTAATGATTCAGATTTTTGCACACATTGTTACACATACTTCAAAAAATGGAATTATTCATGTTTCAAGACTACGCGCCTTTGTTGTTTGGATCCGATCACCCTGACAGAATAAAGTATTTGAAATTTCATTATGACTTTTGATCCAAAATCTGGAAAAAAAAAATAAATATTTTTTGCAAGTTCAAAAAATAATAAGGATCACCGATGCTTTTGTTGTGCTGTCTCATGTGTTTTGAATTGTTGAGATGATGCACTTGAAACATGTTTTTAAAAAAGGAAAAAA